CCAACGTGACCAGGATTGACACCCATTGACCTCCCTCCTGGTCAACCACCCAGTGCACCAGATCTGCCTGGGACTCAAGGGGAATCCAGATGGCCACCCCTGCACTCCCCGGTTTTGGGGCGTGGGCCCTGACGGTCTTGTATGGCCAGACGATTTGGTGTATGCCATTGTGCTCTCGGGTGTCCATCAGGTGCGATTCCTGTACACACACTATATCCAGCCAGTTTCTTTCCCCCACCCCTCTCATTAAATCCCAAATTGCGTTTTGTTTGTCAGGTTTGCACGAAGCCAGGCCATTCACATTTAGTGACCGCAAGTCCAGGTYRGCTGCTCTTTAGCATAGATTCCAAATGCGGTATTTCYCGTATACTGCTTTAAYCGGGTCATCCACTAATCTYGCAGTCATATTATGGTCACACATGGATCCACGACAGTTGTTCCCATTCCCAATCTGCAGCTCCTGACCTCCTGAGAAAAGTGCATAAACTACTCTGAACACCGTGCTCAGTCCAGGTGTCACTGTGCCKGATCCTGACCGTTTGCAGGTTGAGCAGTTGGATGTGGGTATGCCATCTTAGACTATTTTCTTTGGTTGGGTCGAAACATATGTATACATCTCTGTGCGCAATCTTGTTGGGGCTTGTTGTAATCAAAGTCGTAGCCTGTGGCCCTRGTGGTAAGGTTTTTGCAATGTGGGATTCCAGYTGCATTTGCAGAAGTCCTACCGCTGCCTCGGACGAGCTGTTTGGTKGACTTGTCCAAAACGACRACCAACCTCGTAACGTGACACCCCCTTGTCTGCCATTCTTTGCCGGTGATAGACCCACTTCCCATTTCCCATCTTTCTTCTAAACGGGGATGAGTAGCATGGTCGCTTGCGACAGGGAGCCAGTATCACAACCCATCTCGACTAGCTGCCTCAACTTCCTTCTTTGCACCAGATCCAGTGACGCGTTCTCATCCGGGTCCGGTGGGTCCGGACCCAGCGRCGGGGCTGATTGCTGCATAACCGGGGGGTCTTGGACCTTCCTGGTCCTTTYTTCCTCTGTTGCCTCTTGGGCTCCATCCTGATTTGCTTCCTTCGTTGCTGCAGCATGTGGTGCCTGAAGACGTGTAGACACGATTGTGGCCAATCTGTGTTGCCTCTTCCCTTGTTGCTGCAGCATGTGGTGCCTGAAGACGTGTAGACACGATTATGGCCAATCTGTGCCATGCTTCAGCCCACATTACCCCCGATTGCAATCCCCGCTCCAGCACATTTCGGGTGATGGGCTCGTATCCAGCATTATCCCGAAAATTATCAGTAAGGGGGCTATGTTTTGCTTTCAGGTTGGCCATCAGCCAGTCTGCAATGGCGACCAATTTCTATTCCATGGGCAGGTGTAGCGACGATGTTCCCTCCTCGCCTTCTGGGTCTCTCTCCGGGGCCAACCCCTCTGGTGACATGCTAGTGTTGTCCGGAAGAGGGTCCAAATCCATAGGATCCAGACCAAAGGCTGCTTGGAGGGGGTCGGTACCTCCTGTCTGGTCCTTTCTTGCTGTCACCCTTAATATTCCCGTTTCTCCACCTCTAGCTGTTCCCACATCACCTCCATTGTCTCTCCAGCTGCCCTTCTGCTCCCTCCTGTTCCAACCTTCTAGGGATACTGTTTGTTGCATCTGGTTGTGTTGACGACTCCCCTAGCCGTATGCTCTTTCTCTTTGCAATTTCAGCCTCATTCTGGTCACTGGTACCTTCTGTACTCCTCTTCTTGAGTGCACCGCTCAGCAGTGGGGCCCGGGGTGGGTTGTGCCTGCTGTTTTTGGACCCAGATCTCCTTCCCTCCTTTCTTCCCTACTGTTTTCCACCCTGAACTCTCCCAACTCCCCTGCAGGGGTCTTACTTGTTTCTCCTGCACTTTCTCCTCCACCAGAGACGGGGGGGTCCATGCGTTTGGGGGACCTGTTCCCCAGTCCGGTTCCCCGGGTCTTTCCAATACCCACCTGATAGAGGTGTCTTCAACATAAATTCAACCTTCATGTCCCGGGTCCACTGTTCTCCAATGGGTGACCTTAATCGGGTCCCTCATCAGTCTCCCTGTTGTCCTCACCCTTTTTCTGCAGGTGGAGCGGGCAGGCGTATTCAGTGCTCAGGTGGCCGTATGCTCTGCCCTTGTGGCACCACGGCCTCAGTTTGTGTGCAGTATGGATCATGTATTCCTTCCCTCCTACCTGATGGCATTCATAGACCCCCTCCCTTGGTTGGCCAAGAGGGATGACTACTTAGGGTATCGTTAGACACTCCTCGGGGACATGAAATATAAGGACGTGCTCTTTCCACCTGTCCTTGGGGACGGAATTGAAAAAGAAATGTGAAAACACCACAAGGAAAATTCCTTGTGGCATCCTTGTGGCCCCAGCCAAATTTTCCTCATCTCCAAGAGACCTCGTGAGGTCCCTTGGAGCTCAAGGACCCGTGATTCACGGAGTGACGAAGACATGCATCGACGGAGAGTTTTGGTTATTGGGTGGTCCAGATGTGGTCCAGCGGCGTTAGCACGGACATCCCCCCCTTCCAACATCTGCGTAGTCCCCCAACGTCCCCCAATGCTACTATTGGCGGTGGGCCTCCATCGGGTGGCGTCGTCGTTTTCGACCGCCATCATGCGGTCTCACACGCTCGAGGAACGTATGCATAGTCCCCCAACGGCCCCAAACGGCTACTGTTGGCGGTGGGCCTCCATCGGGCGTCGTCGTCGTTTTCGGCCAGCATCAATGGTCGGAATTTTTTTTTTTCCCGGCGGCGCCTTCAGTCCGTCCACAGAAGAGGTTTCTTCACAAGCGTCGTATTTCCATGCATGTCGTCAAATGTTGCATGTCCGATAAGATTCTTGCCTTCTCCGTCGTCGTGTCCTCATTGCTGCCCTCTCCACGGTGCAGTTCATGACCGACCGGTACCGCAGGCTCCCTCTGCTGCTCCTCATCGCTGTGCTGCTTCTGGTGGTCCCTCTGCTGCTCCTCGGCGCTGTGCCGCTTCTCGTTGAAGTAGTCATCCGTGGCATTGTCACATTGTCGAAGGTCTTCCCATGTCCCCCCCGTCCTGCGTTTGGTTCACCACCTCGGTGTCACTCGTAGAATGATGCTGCAACCCAATGTATAGCACAGCTCAATGACAGCCTCCGAAGTTGCCACGTAGTCGGGGCCGTCATCCGCAGCTTGCACCAGCGTCCTTCTTCTACGCGCATGCAACCGCTCCTTCATTCGTCTCAGCGCTCTCTCCTGCTGAAAACGAGACATAACGGTTGACACAGCCGCCACCACGGCTGCCCACTCAAGTGCTGTCAACAGCGTACGTCTGCCCTCTCTGGCCGCCCTCCATAGCCACCACCTCCACAGGGATGACGTCTCTCCACTGACGTCTCAATCTTCTCACCCTCGAGATGTAACCCGCTCACTCCCGGAGGAGAGGTCCGAGAAGCTGCCACCTTTCCATGGATGTCGTCCCCCTGGCGGAACAGCGTGTGACGGCGTGGACGATGGGGAGGAGAAGCTCGATGGTGATGGACGCACCCGGTGCACGCAAGTGCATTGGCCGGGAGGTGGGCGGAAGGGACGCCGCCGCTAAAGCCGATTCAGCCCTACACCGTCTTCACGCTGCAAGCTGAATGTCGTCGTCATCACCACAGCTGTACTTCAAATTTTGAATTTCAAACGTAGAGGTCCCCCTAATTTATTTTATTTTTCATGGCCTGCCTCATGCCCTTCTCCGCCGGACGTCGCTGGACCATGCCGTCTCCACACGGACACCGTACGCTGGACCACAGACACCCCCGCCTGCGGCCGCATATCTTCATATGAAAATGACCGCGGGCAGGCCACAAGGAAACGTCCTCGGGGACGTCCCCAGGGATGTGTGGAACGCCGCCGCCAAATTCCTTGTGGCTCAAGGAACTCGTAAGGAGTGTCTAACAACGCCCTTAATGTTGGCCCTGCATTTCCTCAGGGTCAACCATTCTCCCAAGTACTGGTGGTTTAAGGTTGCTGTGTGGCGAATTTGGTATAATTTGGGCCATTGGAATTTCCTCTGATGAGATTTCTAAAATTTCTGAAATTGGAATGTCGGAAAATTTTCATGAAAGTGCACTTTCGCCTTGCTGTTTTATAGTTTTTTTTTTTAACTTTTTCTTTTTTTCAATTTTGTTTTCGGAAGTAGTTAGTATGATCTCCACTCTCTGAATTGGTGGCAAGTTTGGTTAAAATGACCCTCGGGGTTTTGTTATAAATCGCATGAGAAGTTGTCTGAAAATTGAAGCCTCCGTTTACCGCCTCTCCTCCCCATCGGCTTGATATGTTCGGCTTTTTTGTTTCCTTCTCTTTTTGTAATCCATGCTAATCCTCTGTATTGTTCCAATTTTTAACGGATATCTGCTTCTTCTTATTTTATCGCTAAATATATCTACCACCACCATGTTGTGATTCGTGGGTTGACAACCAACCTTACCACCCCTCCTCAGTTCTACCTTCTCTCTCTCTCTCTCTCTCTCTCTCTCTCTCTCTCTCTCCCCCGATTGTGAGAGACAACAGGTGTGAGCCCTACTCGTTTTCCCTTCCTTTCGGTTTTTTTGTCTTCCTCTTTTGCTTGTTCTCCCTTTGTTTTTCACAGTGGCCATCTTTGGTCCTCCCAGTAAGCTTTAGAACGTAGTTCACGGCAATATAGATGAATCAAGGGGCAGTTTGAAACACGAGAGGTTAAAGGAGTAGTTTGAAAATTGAAACAAATGAAGGACCAGGCCCCACTTGTGCTATGTTCATTCTAGGAAAGCTCGAATTTGGCTGCTGTTACAGCCAGGTTCATGCTTTCCAACCACGAACATAGCACCAGTGGGCCCTGCTGTGAAGAGTCAAGCCACATTCACGATGGACAAACTATATCAATCGAGAGGTTTGGGGCCACTGGTGGTTTGGAGGACGGAAACTCAAATCCACTGGCAGGGACTCAATGGATGATTAAGTGAAATAAAAGAGTTCATATGAATGTAACAATGGAATGGAATGACTGTACTGTACAGAATCACTCTACTTATTTAGCATATGTTTAATAACATTGGACACCGTTGTGACTGTATATATTCTGTATTAACACCTGCCCTAGGAAAACAGCACAGTGAATACCTGCTACCGATGTACCATAATTCTTTGAGGCCAAAAGTCGTACATCTAGAGTCCAGACTCTATAGTAGTTTTGTTATCTTCGAGCGGTCGTTTTTGGGGAAGCAGACCCTCCTCCAGGCTATGCTGACCTGTTCACAGCCACCCACCACAACATCACTTCAACCTTTAAGAGTCAAATCCACCATTAGTGATGACCAACTGGACACCCCTCGAGCCACGCCCTCTACATTCCCC